TGGCCGTGGGCCGTGGCAACGAGTCCCCCCCCCCCACCCAGGAGCGTTCCCCAGGGCCGCCTCCCCGTGGCTCCGCCCCCAGGTGGGCTGGGGGGCTGGGGGTACCTTCGCCCCCCTGGATGCGGGGGAAAAGCGCCTACCTACCTCTCAAACTTGTCTTTCTTCCTCTCTTGCTGGGACTCTATTTGGGCGACAGAAGCACCTCTTCCTTACACCGCGTGGAAGCAGCTATACAGGAGGAGCAAGGCGAGGAGCAAGACGAGCAGGACCAGGGGGACGAGGGGAACGAGGACGAGCAAAGCCGCACCGGAGGTGAAGCGCCGCATGGGCAACGACGAGAGCAAGGGCTAGGCTCGGAGGCTGCAGGCGTGCCCCTGGCAGAGAAGGGGTCCCACGGCGCAAGGTCGCCCCTTCTCCGCCCGCCCCTCCCCCCCATCCCCCCTGCCCCCTCCGTCCTCTGCCCCCCTCTTGGCCCGCCCCCCGCTCTGCCCCCTGCGCAGCGCCTGAAAAGCCGACCGGCTTGGCTCTCCCGAAGAAGCCCCGGATATGTTTTGCTTCGTCTTGGAACCGTTACGTTAACCATGACTTCCAGCACGCCGAAATCAACCTTGTCTTAGACGAAAGCGCCCTGGGCAGCTTTAAGAAGAACCAAACCGATCGGTCCACCAATCGCTGCTATTGCTCCCGCCCGCTGCAGATGCTTCACGCTCCTGCCCTTCGGGCAACGGGGGGTGGAAAGGCAGCAGGGGTAAGAGGAGCGCGCCCCACGACTCGTCGGACCTGCTACCTGCCCGAAGCGTGCATCTGAGTTGCCCATTTTGCGTGGCATGACCTGCTAATGCATACGCCGATGCTGCGCACGACCCGCTTGCCAAGAACCATCGTGCGTCGTTGTTACGGTTGGCGTTGGGAAGATGGTGGGCGGCATCGATCTCCGCAAATAAAAAAAAAAAAGCACACAAACAAAAACTGTTGGCGCTCCGCGCGGATTTCTTCGATTCGTGCTGGACCCCCCTCCCTGGCGCGGGGGGCCCAAGCGCGGATCCAAGAAACCCGCGCGGAGCGCCAAAAGATTATCTTCATGTGGTTGTTCTTCCTCTTCTTCCTCTTCTTCTTCTTCTTCTTCTTCTTCTTCTTCGACTTCGAGCAAAGCACGCTGCCCCTGCGAGACCATCGCCCCTCGAGGGCCCCTCCTGCCAGGGCCCCTCCTGCCACGCCACCCCCCCGCCGGGGCTTCTTCGGTGCACGCCGTCCCCAACGTGGGGGGTTCGCGTATTAGCCAGCGGGCTGGAGTTAGGTCGGGCATGGCCCCCTACAGGCGGACTTCGGGCGAAAAATGAAGAATAGTCAAACAAAATACACCAACATATCCAAAAAAAGAATAGGGAAATCGTCCCCCGACGATTTTTCCCCAAACAGCTTGCTGAACGGTGTGCTGTTGTGATAAAATCTAACTCCGGCCGAAGGAATTCAAAACAAAGACGTCCTCACAAATTTCGTGGTCCGGGCCGTTTCGCCTGGGACTTCCTCACAACTCTCGTTTCTGAGTTGTCTGGGAGTGGGCGTTTCGCCTGAGACATCCTCCAAACTCTGAGCTCCCAGATGCCGCGCAAGAGGTGGTCCGGCCCGTTTCGCCTGAGACATCCTCGAAACTCTGAGCTCCCAAATGCCGCGCAAAAGGTGGTCCGGCCCGTTTCGCCTGAGACATCTTGCAAACTCTGAGCTCCCAGATGCCGCGCGACAGGTGGTCTGGCCCGTATCGCCTGAGACATCCTCCAAACTCTGAGCTCTGAGATGCCGTGCGCGAGGTGGTCCGGCGTGTTTCGCCTGAGACATCCTCGCAACTCTGAATTCTGAGATGCCGCGCAAGAGGTGGTCTTGCCCAATTCGCCCGAGACATCCTCAAAACTCTGGGCTCCGAGATGCCGCGCAAGAGGTGGTCTGGCCCGTTTCGCCTGAGACATCCTCCTAACTCTGAGCCCTGATATGCCGTGCGCGAGGTGGTCCGGCCCGTTTTGCCTCAGACATCCTCGCAACTCTGCGCTCTCTGATGCCGCGCGAGAGGTGGTCCGGCCCGTTTCGCTTGAGACATCCTCTAAACTCTGAGCCCCGAGATGCTGCCCAAGAAGTGGTCCGGCCCGTTTCACTTGTGGCATCCTCGCACTTTTGCATTCCGAGATGCCTCGCGAGAGGTGGTCCAGCCCGTTTCGTCTGAGACGTCCTCGAAACTCTGATCTCGGAGATGCCGCGCGCGACGTGGTCCAGCCCGTTTCGCCTGAGACATTGATCCTCGCAACTCTGAGCTCTGAGATGCCCTGCGCGAAGTGGTCTGGCCCGTCTCGCCTGAGACATCCTCCAAACTCTGAGTTCTGAGATGCCGTGCGCAAGGTCGTCCAGCTCGTTTTGCACAAGACATTCTCGCAACTCTGAGCTCCCAGATGCCGCGCAAGAGGTGGTCCAGCCTGGGGGCCCAGAAGACCACATGTTACATATCCCCCCT